TCATTCATTGCAGCACCCAAGCCCGACCACCACGTCAAGGTGGCAGCTTTAGGTCGGGTGAGCAGGAAAGTATACTCCAGTGTCGCGGCGCAGTTACGTCAAGGTGGCAGCTTTAGGTCGGGTGAGCAGGAAAGTATACTCCAGTGTCGTGGGCGGCGCAGTTTGCTTGTGACAAGATAGATAAGACTTGTCGACCAGGTACTAGTGGGTATCGGAAGTTTTGACTCAACCAAGCTTATCAGCATTAGGTTGAGTAGGATGTGCATGTTGACGGTGTTGAATGAACCCAGTCTTCGTCGGGAACCGGCTGGACAACTGGACATTCGGCTACCAACCCAGATTTCCATCTACAGCGCTTGCCGCAGTCCTCACACGTGAGCCTCACGTTCGTCATCATCATCATCGACAGCACAACAGTGAGTAAATTCGCGCTCTAACCGCTTGGGCCACCTCGCCCCCCCCCCATCCCATCTCGTTCACACAGCCCCTTCCCAACCAAAATCCCGCTTGTCCTTGGTTTCCGTCTACAGACCTCTCCGTAAGACGACGTAAAATAAGTGATGCGAAGAGTGTGGTTGCAAAGGGGTGTGACGCTAATTCCTCTGTGATTGCCACAATTATTGGGTTCGTCATCATCATCATCGACAGCACAACAGTGGTATTCAACACTGATACTTCGCTGCCGTACAACAAACGATATCCAGTCAGGCAAAAATCCTTCCACCCGGTGACTTAGGATGATGCCGATCTCAGCACATCCCACCGCAGTCGACTCCGGATCGCCAGTGGTGCGTAGCCGGGACGTGAAGGGTGTAATGGGGCGTTCGGGGTGGGCGAGATGGCTCAGCGGTTAGAGCGCGAATTTACTGACCGGAAGGTCGGTGGTTCGAACCTGACCTCTGCTTGTCGATTCCCCCTGTCTAGGCTTCAACAACCTGGCAGTACCCCGGGCCTCGTACTTCTTCCTGGTGGAATGTCAGTTAGGTACCGAATGGGTACTAAATCTGCAAAAACAGGGCAGTTAACTCAACCACGGTGCTTGCATCTTGAATTCTTGTTTGTAATACACAGTACACGTTAATGCCAAGCGAGTCCACTGTGAGAGCAAGAGCAGCTTGTTACCATGCTTGTTTGTAGCGCGGGCATTGACAGCGGTCAGAAAAAAGCATCGAGGCTTGAAGATTGATTTCGAGATGCCTGAGGGTGCCAGCGCCGGATGGCGCGTAGGTGATGCTTGTAAAGCCGATGCAAAACAAAGGGAACCATCAGTCCTTCAAGGAAACAGTTATTAATGGGGTGGAGGAGGGGAATAAAACGTATGTGAAAGAGAAAGAAGAGCGCACCTACTCTGCCGTATTCAACAAGTGCGACTACCCAAATGATGAAACCACGCGGCGACCGATATGGTAAGACATTGTTTTTACTTATGCGAATCATTTTATACGCAGGCCAACACCTAGACAAGAGGACGACTGAAGTCCTCGACCAAAGCTTCCGGCTCAGAAGCCTGATCACAAGGCAGCGGTATCTGACGGGAAAGGACAGTGCATTACTCTTCCTAAATAACAAGCAGCCACATATGTTCTAACCTCACCCCGGTTTTTGGATGCGGGTTGGAACCAACCGAAATTCTGATTGCAATCAAATTGCCCAGATCAGCAAACAGACCAACGACCATCAGTACAACCTGAGCTATCGATATTCTCTTCGGTTGTAAAGTTAACGTAATACTATCAAATTGTGGTATTACGTTACGTTGGGGTGAGATGGCCCAAGTGGTTAGAGTGCGAATTTACTGACCGGAGTGTCCGTGGTTCGAACCCAACCTCTGCCTCTCGACTTCCCCTGTCTAGGCTTGGGCAACCTGGCACTATCCCAGTCCTCGTGCAACCTTCAGGTAGCATGGCAGCTAGGCACCGAAAGGGTGTTACAGCTGGATGATTATTTACTACTATTACTATTATTATTATTATTATTAAATTGTGGTTTAGAGAACTGATTTCGCTCGTTTAGATGGTTTTCTTAGCGTATACCAATCCACCATCATTTAAAAGTTTTCCCTATTATTTCAGACAAAAACTGCATCAAGTCGATTCTATAATGACCTGGGCGGCGATGCGTTTGCATCGAGTTGTGCGTCGGAAAGCGCATTACCGTCTCATATTGGAAAAAGTGAGTGTTTTACTTTTAACCCACTTTGTCAGTAAATAGCTCGTTTTAAAACCCCAACCTCTCAATCGCAGGTGTATCACTTGTCTGTGCCACTTTTATCCGAGCGTAACCCCGATGTCCGCCAATAAAGTTCAACGTTTGTTATCCGGGTTCTCGTAGGCAGTGAGGCAATTTTGAGTTCTGAATTCTGCAGTCCTCACTGTGGGTCCGAAGCTTAAAGCTGCTTTACAGCCGTGCGCGCCGCATGGTTATCAAATGGGACTCAAACAGGTACCCTTCAGTTACAGATGGCCATTGAACGATATTGCCAATTCGGAGTTAGACAGGGTACATTGCTATCCCTCAGCATACCACTTTCTATCACGTGATCTGATTTTGACCGTTCTCCCGATTGTCTCCTCAGTGGAGGGCCCTTGTAACTTGTGAACCGTTTTCGCTTTTCAGCGTGTTGGTCTTATTTTGTCAGTAGCCATAAAATTTTGAACGTCAGTTTTTGAATTTCGACACTATTCGCTGGAGCATTCTGGTTTCCTACCTTTAATATGATGGTTCAGTGTGGTATGTAAGGCAAGGAATCGAACCAGAGCTATATCAGATTAATGGGTGGCTACAAGTATGGAATAACAGTTATCATTCAGTTGTCCTCACTCGTTTGTTCAAGATGTTCGCAAGCAAGACAAAATCCTTCTATGAAACTGTGCACCGAGATGGCCCAGGCGATGCTCCTCAGAGAAACACGACCCGATATAATGGCTTTCCAAGTTCAATACCAAATAGCACCAGTCAACCGCAACCCTAATGTACGCGTTTTTTTCTGTAGCCTTATGTCAATAAAACAGCATGTGTGTAATGCATCGATCCACCCGAAGACACAGTGTACTGTTAGCCTCAGTTTTGATGGTCAATGGCCACTCACCTGAATTCGCAAAAAAGAAACGGCTCATAAAGGTGTGGTGGCAAGCAGCTCATCGGCAAATCAAGTCGGTGTTGATAGAAGACTCATCCGAATCCCAGCTGAGTCATAATCATAAATAAATAAATAAATAAATAAATAAATAAATAAATAAATAAATAAATAAATAAATAAGTAAATAATAA